TTCCTAAAGCCGGCCCTGCTAGAGATATTTAAGAGCAGGTTATACAAACATCTATCAGGGATGACCTAAATCAAGGATGCTCACAGCTCCCATTGGCTCTGGTTTGATGTTTCCAGCCAAGGGGAGTCACTAATCTTCCTCTTAACATCCCTTCTAGTCCTTGTTTTCTATGATTCTGTGATTCCTGGGGTAGCTCTATTCACTGCCATTGAGTTATACCAAGTGTGTGTCTGGACTACAGGGTTTTGTCGACAAAAGTGGACTTTTGTTGACAAAACTATACCTGTGTCTACACTGCTGCTGAGTTCAGAATTCTGTCAACATAATGTTGACAGAATTCTGCAGTTTTGTTGACAGCTATAAACTTCATTCTATGAGGAATAACGCCTTTTGTCGACAAAGTTCTGTCGTCAGAAGGCATTATTGCATTTACACTGTCCTTTGAGTCTACATTGTCATGTCGACAAAGCGGCTTGCTTTGTCGACAGAACTGGATGTTGTCTAGACGCTCTTTGTCGACAGAAGCTTTGGGGTCCATTAAGTTGTCTGGCTTTTATGTTCTCCCATTCCAGCCTAGCTCAGTATCAGAGAGACTCAGTGACATATAACAGAGACAAATAAAAAACTATGCATATTCAGCATTTTACACCTGACATCTTTCAAGCAGCACGTATTGTCCCGTTGAATTGCAACATGCTGTGACTCATGTAACATTCATTCCAGGATGCAATCAGTCAGTCATCTGCTTGCGGTATATGAATTACGAGTTTGTTACACCACTAATTTTAATGTGTTATAATCCGCTGCATGTGGGGGCCATGCACTGAAAAGTGAAGAAGGGTTGCTGCTGCAGGAAATCAGTGTACCACAGGACTATCTCTGTGCAAAATCATCAATTTCTTTAAAGGACAAAATCTTTTAAAAAGCTGCAGTTTCTTAAAGAGGCTATTAAGGAAAATTAAGTAGTCTGAAGGCATGAGACAGAAGTTTAATCATGGATGTGAAACTAAGCTTCACCAATTTGAAATCTATTCAGTATGAAAAAAGTTTAAAGTCTTTTCAGGTTCTATACCTGCCCCCAAGACTCCCTGTGATTTTACAATCACATTTTCCTATTTTTAAAAGTGTTTCTCTCTCCTTTTGCTGCGTGAATGATTCAAAGAAACTGGAGAAGATGACTAAATCACTGATTATATATAAGAACCAGTGAAACTGTCAAAGTACTGTCAAATGCACAATGTAAACAAATGAAAAAAGGAGAAAAAATATTTTTCCCCCAATCATTTTCATTTACGGTAATCTTAGGTTTTGCATGGGGCAGCTGACAGATTTTTAAGACACATACATGACTTCTAAATTGACTGTGTTTCTTTGAGGGAAAAACCAAAGAGAAGAGAAAATGGCCTATTTTAAACAAGAAAAGGTGTAAAGAGTGGTGTGCCTCTAAGACCTATACTAGGACCAATGCTACTAAACCTTGTTAAACATTTAATGGCACTGTTTGTTGTTATTAATGACTGGCATATAGTTGAGCAGGGAAGTGGCAACATTTAGAGATGATACAGAATTATTCAGGTAAGTGAAAGCATGGAAAATATTGAGGAACTTGAGAGGTTTGGAGATTAGGGCTCGGCCTGGGTTGGAGGGGAAGTGGTAGTACTCTTCCAAGCACCATCCATAACATAAGCTTCACCCACCCATGTCCATAATGAAACACTTAGTGGACTAGATTTTGTGTAGCTCAAAATATGATTGGGCTCCTTGAGCTTGACCTCAGTGGGGCCCTTACAGGCTCTGCTAAATTCCTGGCGTTGGGCTCCTTCTGACTGAAGACAAAAAACTTAGCGACAATATCTCCAAAACGTCATGGACATGTGGTAGAAAAGTAAGAAACGATTCACCATAAAATGACCCCGGCTCCATTCTTACTAAGGGAATGAAATAGCTAACATTCAAATGATCACCCCTGAGTGAATGCCTCACTGAGATGAACAGGCCACTTCACACCTCTCAGACATCATGGCTCCCTGCAGACATCTTCATATTGATTACGCACAGGAAGCTCTTCTCCCTCCCACTCACTGCCTATTGCACGCTAGAAGTCCAGCAGTGCTGCAGGGCTATGGCAGGCTTCCTACACCTGTACTGGTTCTGCACCACTCCCAGAAGCAGCCAACATGTCTCTGTGGCCCCTGAGGGGGAGCCAGGGATCTCCAAGCACTTCTCCTGCCCCAAACACTGACTCTGCAGCTCACATTGGCCAGGAAGTGAGGCCAATAGGAGCTGCAGGGCCAATGACTGAGGGAAAGGGCAGCATGCAGAGACCCCTCTGGCCCTCTGCCTACGAGCCACTGCTAGAAGGATATACTAGTCACTTTCAGGAGCCACCTGAGGTAAGTACCACCTGGCCAGAGCCTGTACCCTGCACTATCTCCTACACCCCAATTCCCTGCCCCAACCCAGAGCTGGGATTTTGCACTCAAACGCCCTCCCAAAGCCCGCAGAGGCCTTTAACAGAAAACACATTATTACATTTACTCCCAATTTAAAGTCCCTACTAGAGTGGTGTAAATTGGTCTAAGGGTGCATGAGATTCATGTCCAGAATGTTTTAGATTCCTGCTTAAACTACCTTGCCCACCCGATATCCTACTCATTAAAGCAGGACAAGAGAAGTTCAGCACTCGTCTTACAACATTACTGCAAACCTACAAAAAAAGATTTTACACAAACATTATTCAGCAGCTTCCAAGCTGACTGATGGGGCTTGTGGACTGTGAGTGACTTGTACCTGACTCATTCCTGGCTATTTGTGATAGAAGCTGATGGAAAGGTGTAGCAAAAAGCACCAGTCACCACTTCTTCCTTTCTTGCTGCTGGCAAAGAACAGCCATTCTGTTGGGGGAAACTACTATATCATGGGTGGTTACTTAGGAAAGGAGGGTCCAGTAGGCCAGTAAACTGGTGTCCCACTTATTTGTCAAGAAAGGTGCACACAATTATTACGGTCAGGCAGTGCAAAGCAGCCCAGCCATCACCATCCACCTGCACCCGTTGACATGCTTAGTCATGTTTAGAGGAGGCCAGTGGAATGGATGACGTGGCCCAACACGCTGATGGGCCTGACAAAGATAAGTCAGACAAGGAAGCTCTTTGTACTCCAATTCATTTTAAGAGACTTTCACAGAACACATCATGAGACATTCAGTCGCTCTCGTTTCCTCTTCTGGTGACTTTGAATTAGAAACAACCACTCCAGAAGTGTTTTTTTTTCCTTGAAATTCACTTACTCAGAACAATTCACATATATTTAAAAATAAAATGAAAAACAATCATCACCTCCCCTCTCATTTTTACTACAGTGTTTGTGTAGTCGGAATGTTGTAGTCGGTTTCATAAAATGGGCAAAGATTTGTCAGAGGGATTTTTTTCATATATTTTAAAAATACTATAAAATGGGTACCAGAAAATGTTATATTTTGGATTTTCATCTTCAAAATACTTTTAAACACAAACTAATTAATCCTAACATCTCTCCTTAGAGGGGAGATAAAAATTATCCTCTTTTGTCAGTAAAGGAGACATATGGGAAGTTCCAAAGAAATACTTAAACTACCCTGCCCAGGTAAGGCACCAGTAAAACCTGTGAGAGTTACATATTTGTTTGTCACTGTCTGAGCTGAAGCAACAAGGTAATGTTATAAGCAGGGTGCAGTTGCAATTGTATCTGTCCCCAGGACTGGCAGGCTGTGGTTTTATCTTGGGAATTTTCTGTTCTGCACCTTCAGGTTATACATTAGGACTCTTCTCCAAACACTGAGAAAAGGCACAAATGCACAGGTGTGTGTAAAATCAAATAAAAATTGAATGAATTGTATTCACTTTGCAAGTTACAAATCATTCCCAGAGGATTTTGGTTTAAGAAAAAGAAAAAAAAAGTGGTCCTAATTAGATAGCTTATTTTTCTGATTCTTTAAGCACAAAAACATTGACTTTGAACAGCATTACATAGGATAAAGACAAGTGTTTAGCCATATAGGTGAAGTCAGCTACAGCTGTTCCTACAGTCTGATGATAATGGTTTAATAGAACGAGTCATACTTTGCATTGATTTATCTTTTTGTTCTAACCCTGCCTGCCCCATCATGACCATTGATGAATTAAGCTAAACAACATCCTGTGGAGATGAGTATTATCCCCATTTTACGGCCACAGCTGTGCTAAGGGGACTATAGTCATACAGCTATAGTGCCATAGCGGCAGCAGCATAACGTCACAGGGTAGATGCAGCTTACAGCAACAGAAGGGGTTTTTCCATAGCTGTGGGAACACCGCTTACCTGAGCAAAGGTGGTTAGGTTGACAATTTTTCTGCCGACCTAGCAGCATCTACACAAGTGTTGGTTTGACATTACTACAGCACTGAAGATTTTTCTGCTTCAAGTTAAGTGTAGCCCAGGCCTAAGCAACAGAGAAAGTGATACATAAAAGGAGTAAAGGATGTGCCTGGGCCAGTGTTTCTTAAACTTTAAGACCAAGGAACACCAAACAATTTTTTTAAATTTTTTCATGAGGAACACCAAAGATTTTTTGTTGAGAGGAAAAAACCAGAGAGTTCAGGGGGAAAGTTATTGAGGAAAAAAAAAGGGCTGGGAGGGAAGTTATTGAGCCCTTTAAGGGCGGCCATTTTGAATTCTATTGTTCTCTGTGTCATACCTCCGACTGGAACACAGTTTAAGAAACACTGTCCTAGGCTCAGAGAGGAAATCTTTCCCACAGTCAGGATTAGCACCCCCAGAGTCATGCCTCCTGGTCCTTTGCATGCGGTCACATTCCCACTCAGCTGTCCCAACGTGCTGGGCATGAAGCACCTCTTGGTCATTTTGAACAAATTGTGAAGAGGTGGATTGTCAGAACCAACTGGGCAGAGATTCTTTTTGTTTCCCCGCTGAGTTAGCGAGCTGATTTGAAAGAGATACTCCAATTTTTTTCTTATAAAAAGGTTCTCAGGCAAGAAATTCCACTGGAGCTGATACTAAATGCTGTCAAGGATACAATTCAAGTATTGACAAGAAGGAAGATACCCAGAATTTGGTACAATGGACAAGCCTCCCTAACGGTAATGTACTTCCTGATCAAATGGCCATCACTAAATGGTTAAGAAAGAGCAGATGGCCTGGTGCCAGGCAGAGCACTGAGACATCCCTCGCCCTTTGAGAGACTGGGAAGAACAGCTAACCCTGTACTTGGGGCTGAATCCTCTCATCCTACCCAAAGTCTCATTATTACTAATTATCTGTATTATAGTAGCACTCCAGTGCCCTTGTCATGGATCAGGGCATCATTGTGCTAGACACTGTACAAACACAGAACAAAGAGCTAGTTGCTGCTCCCAATAAGTTTAAAATCTAAGCGAATAGTTTTGCACAGAGACGCTTCATGGGTGAGAGAATGGGATCTGTAGGTTTTAATGCTCTGTGGGTAGCACTACAGCCTATGGGTTGTAGCAGCATCAAGGCATGCTGTACAAGGGATACATTTACCTCTAACTCATACCTAACATCCCCTGGCACAGAGTTTAGTATGCTGCGAACATCCTCCCAAGGCACGCTTTCCCTAGAACAGTGGAACTACACGAGTTCCTCTGCCTCTCAGGGGATGTGCATCCATCAATGGAAAAAAATTGCCTCTGGCTGCTATATGGAAACCAAGAGCACTGGGGAGACTGAAACATGCCATTGCCCTTGTGCTGCCAGGGGTTGCACTGCATTACCCCCAAATGACAGTGATTGTCAGGCCCCTAGGGGACAAACAGAAGCGACCAGGGTTTAACCTGGGGATTAGTGCCACTTTGTCACAAGTCCAGACTGAAGAGATTTTCCTCATTCATGTAGGTAGGGAAGGTCATCAAGTCAGTGTCCTGATACCAGACTCCTGTCAGCAAGAAATCGTAGACTCAGAGTTACAAGGGCCTCAAGGATCATCTAGGCTAACCCCCTGCCAAGAAGCAGGATTTATTGTGTCTAAAATCATACAAAATAATTGGCTATCCAGCCTCCTTTGGAAAACCTCAAATCGCGCAGCTTATTTCAAGTGTATTTCAAAATAGAGCGCTATTTCAAAACATCCCTTAATCTTCGTGGTACAAAGTTTACAGGGATGTGGGAACAGCGAGCCCATTATTTCAAAATAAAGGGCTTATTTGGGATCCTGGAAGTATTCCAAAATAGCACTGCAGTGTAGACATACCCACAGTGTCACTTCAGGTGGTAATGTAACAGCAAGAAATATACAAGAAAAACCTGTAGATTCAATAAAGCCTAAATATTGTGCAGCTCACAGAGGATCCAGAATAAAAGTTTCATCTCCAGAAATGCAGTAAATGCACCCAGAAGGGTAATTTTAGTGACCTAAACAGGTTGAAATTGTCCTTTTAAATCAGCTTTGAAGTTTTTATGATGGACTCATGTGGACATAATATTTATAGTCTAGTACATACGATGTTACTTAATAATGGTGTGGATGATTCAGTCATGAAAATTAATTGTACTGGACTTCATATGGATTTTGTATCCAGAATGGAGAGGAGGGAGTTTCCTATTGGTTCTCAACAATTGCAGGACAAATTTGCTCAATTTACCATCAAACGATTTTTCTAATTACCAGCTCAATAAACTTCACCTAAAATCTAAGAATGCAGCTGGGTTCTTTATTTCCTCTTACTCCACCATCGTTAGTAAAGAGTATTAATTGGAACTTAATGAGAGTCAGTGCTTAGTGAGGGAGAATAAGCTACAGATCACATCTCTCTCTCCCCCAGTGTGTGTCAGGGCTCTGCAGATATAACTGCAGAAAAAATGCATTCTTGTCAGAATAGTGACCAGATAAATACCAAATACACACATTCACATTTAGCTTTCAGTAATAAATCTGAGGAAGTGGGTTGTGCCCATGAAAGCTCATGATATCATCTACATGTTTGGTTAGTCTTTAAGGTGCTATTAGGCTATTTGTTGATTTTAAGTTTTTCCTGTTACAGACTAACTCGGCTACCCCTCTGAAATAATATCAATGTAAATCTATCATAATGCTGCTAAAATCAAAGGCACTTATTCAGATTTACTCCAGTGTTGTAGGGCAGAATTTGGCCTTGAGAAGTTAGAGGCAGAAAGATATGCTGAACAGAGACTCTTTTCAAAGTAGAATGTTTTTCCAGGATATCTTCATCCCTGTTAAGGCTTATACTGGCACAGAAATGTTGGTAAAAAAAAAAATAAAAATCACACCCCTATTTGACACAGCTACACCAGTATACATTTTACATGTAGACCAAGTCTTAGCATGTAGCCCCTTTTAAGGATTTTCTGACCCTGCTGGGTTCCAGCTATTCCACTGTGGATGGAGCACCAGGAAGTGGCTCCGAAATGTTGACTTTTCCTGGTTTGTGCTTCCCTTAGAGTCAGTACAGAACCAAGACCCTGCTAATGTTACTGCCTCCTCATGATTCATTTTTCTTGCAATTGCTGACAAATTTAAAAAAAAAAGTTTATCCCAGGAGCTCCTCCAGTATAGCTGTGCCCTGAATCTCAGTCAGGTTCCAATACACAATAGTGCCTTTGTAGTGGAACTGGGCAATGATTGTGATAAGGATGAGGTTCTGCAGGTTATGGGAGTAGAGAGGCTAATCCTATGGTGTGAAGGCAAAGGCAAATATCAAGTTATCTGTCACTGTTTAAAGGTGCAGATATAATGAGATGGGTCTAGTTTCTACAGAGGTGAACTCTTACTATGGAAGACTGTGTAATACCAGGGTTCTGACCCCCTGGTGAAACAGGTCTCTATGGTTATCATGACATTCTAGGTGACCTTTTTAAGTGTTCTCTTCCTGCATCTTTTCTAGGTAACACCAATGTGCATGGAATAGCTGGTGACAGTGTGAATTTGATCTGTGTGAACACTTCAAGTTTGGTTGATATAACATCAGTAATATGGAAGATAATACCAAAGACTGGGGAACCCTGCACACTGGCATACAGAACTGATAAGAACAAGACAGACAGAATAAACTGCAGTGAGAGAATAGATTGGAAGTCTAGCCCTGATACTGACACTGCACTTCAGATACAGAATGTGATTCTCTCAGATGAGGGAATTTACATCTGTGAATTTGTAAGCGCTGAAGGAAATTTCAATCAAAACTATACTCTGATTGTACTAGGTAAGTAACAAGTTGTGACCTTCTAAATTGTCTACAGCAGAAGTACTCGAATTTCATTGCACCACTACCTGCTGCTGACCAAAAAAACATCCTACACAACTCCAGGAGCAGGGACTGAAACCTGAGTCCACTCATGTTCCACTGCCCTAAGTCGGTAGAGGGGCAAAGCCCAAGCCCCACTGCTCTGGGCAGTGGGGCCAAAGCTGAAGCTCAAGGGCTTCAGCCTGAGGCAAGGGGCCTTTAACCTGAATCTTGTTACCTCAGGCTGAAGCCCTCTGGCTTTGGTTTTGACTCTGGGCAGAGGGGTCCAGACTTCCACCTCGGGCCCCAGAAAGTGTAAGTGACCTCATTCAAGGGGGTTGTGACCCACTGTTTGAAAACCACTGGTCTATAGGGTCAGATTCATGCCTGGCACTTAACCCTGTCCTCCTCTTATAATGTTGAGGGTATAGGCTCAGAAAACTTTAAAAACTAAGAGTTTAAGAGGTCTGATGGGTTAATCCCTTATGTGAATGTATTATGGTCTTACCTGCAATCCATCTTTAAATTCTGCCTCCCTGGCCCTCTACAAACCTTCCTCCTGATTTCTAAGGCTGGAAAGATTGCTTTTGAGCTACTTTTCTACTTGACATTAACATCAATGTTTTGCTATTTGGTAGAGGGGCTTCTGAACAAAAGCCCCCAGCCATTCGTCCATGAACATTTAAAAAGTTCATTTAGGCCCAAAACCTGGAAAAAGTATTTAGACTCCCAATTTCCACTGATTTCAATGGAGGTTAGGAACTTTTGAGGATATAAGTGTTTGTGCTTGTAAGAAACAAGCTCTCTCAGAGTTCCAGAGAAGCCTGAGTAACTTTCAGTTTTTGAGGGCCCCTAGCCATAGCAAAAATGACAGCATATGAAAACAAAATAAGGCACCCCCCCAAAAAAAAAGTTAAACATAATTTGAACTTTTTTTTATGTAACAAAGGCCAAAAAAAATTAACTAGTGGCTAAATTTGAGGCTCCCTTTGAGCTTGAGGCCCAGGCCAAATGGCCCTTCTGGTATTTCCCCCTCTCATCTTCACTAATTAGCCCTGGTGAGAAATTCTAGCATGACACTTCTGGAGACTGACAAGTCAAAGCACCTTAAACCCTACTTATTGATGCCCATTTTTACAAATAAGGATAATTCAGTGCCCTTGTGTTCAATTGTTCCTTGGTCTTTCTCCTGGGACTGGATGCCCATTGGCAAGTATAAACCAAGTCTGTTAACACTGGGACAGAGGTCAGCTCAATTAATCTACAGCAGATAGCAATGACTTTCTATTACTGCAAACCTGATCTGGTTTAGAACCAATGTGCTACAAGTAAAAGGCTAATATAGATCCTATTACCAACCTCCTCAAATATCCAGTACCTGCTATTCTATCCCTGTAACATTTCTGCCTCAAGCGTAAAGAGGCTATTTGCTAGAAATATGATTAGTGCATTATCTTGTGCACCAAAATGGAAGATGACTGTGGTGACCTACCCAACACTAGGATAATAACTAAGGGTGTGTCTAGACTACAGGGTTTTGTCGACAAATGTGGACTTTTGTCGACAAAGCTATACTTGCATCTACACTGCCGCTGAGTTCTGTCGACATAACGTCGACAGAACTCCTCAGTTTTGTCGACGGCAGTAAACCTCATTCTACGAGGAATAACGCTTTTTGTTGACAGAGTTCTGTTGCCAGAAGACATTATTGCATCTATACTGTCATTTGTGTCCACACGGTCATGTCGACAAAGCGGCTTGCTTTGTCGACAGAACTGGATGTCGTCTAGATGCTCTTTGTCAACAGAAGCTTTGTCAACAGTATCTGTCGACAAAACTTCTGTCGATAAAAGCCTGTAGTCTAGACATACCCTAAATCAGAATACTAAAAGTTGCTCAAAGAGAATTTATTATTCAACTAAAATAGAGGAGAAGACCGGTTTCAGAGAGATAGCCATGTTTGTCTGTTTCAGCAAAAACAACAGAGACTCCAGTGGCACCTTAAAAGCTAACAGGTATAGAAGGGTAGAGACGCATTAGGGATAAGAAATATACACAGACCTCTGTGTCAACTACTACTGGAGATCAGCAGGAGATGATACAAAATGTAGGTCAAGATCCACAGCTGAATGTTTTGGACATGGGGCTGTGGATTCTGGCCCATTTTTAGACATCATCTCTGAAAAAACTGACAAGAATGGATGAGTGTGTTAGGAGTCATGACAAGACAACACAGCGGAACCTGGGTGATAAATGAGTGCTTGGTTCCAGCCATTCAGTTTGTGGGATAGAACTGGGAAACTTGATCAGTCAAGGAAAGGACCTCTTCCTACAGGGATGTACCTTTGCTTATTGTGGCTCCCAGCCTTCCTTTCTGTTTTTTCATAGTTCCCACATTAGCCCTCACCATTCTCCAGTTCTTAAGTGAATACAGGTTCTTTTCTTGGTTTTGGGTTTCAACTTGACAGCAGACAGAGAAGGAGAACGTGTGTGTCTCATACTGAACCAGGATAAATTGCAATGTGACGAGAGGGTACTTCATTTCTCCAAAGCCAAGTCTTGGGATATTGTCTATGGTAATGCAAATCATATGCCTATGGTTTTTACTTACTCTCTCGTCCTGTTTCAGAGCTGTAAGGACTCCCTGTTATCTATTTTGCTGTAGCAGGTGTTTACTATTTATTGCAGTATTGTCTACACTCCCATTCTCCTCTTTCTGCTATGCTCTTTTGTAGTAATCAAGAAGTTGCCATCCCACATGCAGCAAACTCAACTTCAATGCTTTCCCCTATCTCTTGCCCTGCAGTCCCCCCTGAAATGAACTTGATATGTGACAGTAACAGGGATGCTGTGTGCAAGGCAGCTGCAGGGAAACCAGCTGCACAGATCTTTTGGGCCCCAAGAGGAGATTCCAAGAATGAGACTGAAAATCATCCCAACGGGACAGTGACTGTGCTCAGTACATACAGCTTTAATAAGACAGGTGTTACCTGCACAGTCTCTCATCCAGCTTGGAATATGAACCAATCCAAAGAATGCAAACCAGGTAACGGCACACATCTCTTTTCACTCTTCTTTCATAACTGATAAATCCATGTGCTGCTCTGTTCTCCAGTGCCAGCAAATACTAGTGTGACTGGTGAGGGTGCGGCAGGGAGCTGGTCAATTCAGCTGACCTTCTCAGTTTGCTTCATAACATGTCTAGAGAGGGAAATCTGTAAAAGTGACAAATACTGTGAAAGGAGAAGGGGCAGAAAGCACATTCTAATGGGCCCCCAGAAGATGGCTAATGGTCTCATAATCTGAATGGTAAATGGCTGTCATCCGGCTTCTTTTATTCATTTGCTTGCTTTTTTGCTTTGAGGTGATAGGTGATATAGGAGATGGCTTGCAACATTCTGAGCTCCTTCAGAGCAACATGATCTAGTGGTTATAGTACACAACTGACCACTGGGAGCTATGGTTTCCATTTCCAGGCTGAAGTCTTCAGGCATGACCTTGGGCAAGCTATTTAATGTCTTTGCCTCAGTTTCCCCTTCTGTCAAGTGGAAATATTATTTAGTTTGGAGACAAGCTGTGAGGCTGAATTAATGTTTAAAGCACTTTGTGATCCTCAGGTGGACACAATAAAAGGAACTGATCAGTGAGGAAATATAACTGAAATGGTGATACTCTCTATTTAGAACCTTCCCTCCCATTACACGTATGGACAATTTGGCTTTGTGCCATCGCTGCTGGTATTCTGGGCATCCTCTTCATTCTTACTTCCATTTTCCTCTGGAAGCTCCACCATGGCAGGTATGTATAATATGGTGCTATGATATCAGTTTGTCCAGAATGGAGTGGAAAGGAAAGGTGTTATCCTATGATCTGACAAAGTATCTCTGATTCTGTCACATTCACGCAAGATGTGGACAATGTTCCCCTTGAACATTTTCTATCCTTGGGCGGGGTCATAATCAGGAGTGCTGACCAGCACTGGTGACTAAGGGTTTAACTAATGTCACCTAGCCAAGGCATCAAGGGGTCAGCCAATAACAATTCAGGTAAAAATTAAAAACAGGAAAGGGTTTTTTTTCTCTCTCATAGGCTTTAAGGTCAGAAGGGACCATTATGATCATCTAGTCTGATCCCCTGCACAGTGCAGGCCACAGAATCTCACCCACCCACTCTTGGAATAATCCTCTCACATATATCTCAGATATTGAAGTCCTCAAATGGTTTAAAGACCCCAAGATGCAGAGAATCCTCCAGCAAGTGATCTGTGCCCCATTCTACAGAGGAAGGCGAAAAACCTCTAGGGACTCTGCCAATCTACCCTGGAGGAAAATTCCTTCCTGACCCCAAATATGGCGATCAGCTAAACCCTGAGCATGTGGGCATGACTCCCCAGCCAGACACCCAGAAAGTTCTCTATAGTAACTCCTATCATCTCTCCATTAGCCTATTTCCCACTGATAATGAATGGTCAATTAGTTACCAAGATCCTGTTATCTCATCAAACCATCCCCTTCATAAACCCATCTAGCTTAATCTTAAAGCCAGATAGGTCTTTTGCCCCCACTACTTCCCTCTCTCTTCTTTGAGAGGCAGGGCAGTTTCTCCCAGCTATTGAGGGAGATGGGAGACGCTTCTCTCCCCAAAAACGGACTTCTTAAAATGTGTAAGTAGGGAAAAGTTTAGATAGTCCACCAGTGTTTATTGTTTTCCTTGTTTGGGGGTTTGGAAATAATGTCTGAGCTTGTTAATTGTTTTTTTCTCTTTCGTAATTAAGCCTTCAGCCCGGGGACTTTCCCTGAGTATCTATATGCATGGTGGCTCTTTCCATCTAGCCAATTTACTATGCTTGCAACTGTAGTTTTGTTTTGATAATAAAATATTGTTTCTTCTTCTAATTAACCGGTATTGGTTGATGGTTGTGACCTTAGGACTCAGTGCCCAGTTACAAGGGCAGAGCCATTGTTGTCTGTGGATTCCCTCTGTTTTTCCCAACTCCAAGCAAAACAGAGGTTGGGGCAGGAGGGAGAATTTTACCTTAGGGAGAGGATTTCCAAAGTGATCTCTTCCCTGATTTTCTTCAAATTACTTGGATGGTGGCAGCGGGTCGTCCCCCCCAAATCTGGGTACAGTATTAGGATTTTGTGGAGGGAAGTTTTTGTACTATAGCCTGTAGAAGAAAGGTTTTGGAGTGCTCTTGCTGGCCCCCAACTTCTGCATTTGTTGTGCCAGAGTGAGGAACAGCCTTGACAGGCGGGTTGAATTTTCTTTTGGGTGCGTTGAAATTTCTGATGCGCACCACCAATATTGAGGTATGTGGATGTGCACCACCAATACACACACACACACACACACACACACACACACACACACACACTTTTAAGCAGCCCATAGGTGTGGACGAAAATATATTAAACAAGGAGCAATGTTTATGATATTTAATATGAAATTAAATAAAAAAGAAAATTAACACTACCCTTGGAGTACATGTATCAACCTTTCTAACAGCTCAAGCTAGTACTTGCTACTTCCGACTCATAAAAGCCAGAACTCTACCAAATAGCAAAGATCTGGTCTTAATGCAATACAATTTACCATGTATTAATTAGTAACAGATTTTTTTAAATCATTAAATTCAGTGTTTTAGATATCTGCAACACTCCAAAAACATTCTGTTAAAAGAATCTCTCTCTTTCTTAAGCCATTAACACCTTATGCAAACTTTGTTTGAAATGCAATCATGCAGATGTCCTGGCACACACACTTCCCTTGCAGCCTACTCTCCTCCTCAACCCAGCCAGTCACAGAAGACTACAGCTAGTCTGACATCCCAGACAAACTGCCCCTTGCCTCCACCTCACTGCACAGATGCCAGCACCAGCCCTCTCTTTCCCCCACCAACCCCATGCAGTCAGCCCCTTGTCTCCCCCTTCCCAGGAGGCTTGAGAGTATTGAGTCTGCCTCTCCTCCTGCAGAGGGATGCTGGAAACACACCTTTCTTCTGACTCCTCCTTAGCCAATTACTTACTAACTCCCTCCCTCCCATTCTCCCCAGCCATGAATTTTCTCCTTAGCTCCCTTTTTACTAGCTCTAAGAGCTCCTCAGTTCAAGCAGGCAGCTAGCTCCATTTAGCTGCTTGCTCCATAAAATGCCCCTTTCCCCACTAATCAGCTGAGTTCCCAGCCCAGATGGGAGCTTTGAACTTCTGAGCAGAGCTCAGAAAACTGCTGGGCGAGCACACAGGTGCGCAGCGTACAGGGAACCTTAGAAGTGGCATAATACAGCACGAAGACACAAAATGCATCTCTGTGAATGATAGACTAGTGGAATGGTACGGTATTGGACCCATAAGATAACTCCTGCTCTGTCCAGGGAACATAGTCCAGTCAACATGGAGAGCTGGCAAAGTAAAAGTTGTTCTCCACATATTACAGAGTCTCTCAATTAGCTTCTCCGTGCCAGCACTTTGAGGGGTTGAACACAGAGGATGGAGCGGGACTGTCCTGTCATGTTAATAAAGCTGCATCAAGCAGCAGAATCTTGACTGTATGAGGAACACTGCTGGCTGGAGCTGCATTTCAGGTCCATCAGACCTTGCTTAAACAAGTTAGAGGGATGCAGTTCCTGGATAAAACAACAGTATTTAAATACTTTATAGCCAATTCGTAACAGGGATGTTCTTTGGTATTTGAGGAGAACATCTCATTCAGCTCCTCTCCCCAAGCTCCAGCTTCTTAGCGCCAGGTCTTCCTCCTCCCCCAGAAGGGGATTAATTCATGTAGAGCAGTTGTTCTTAACCTGGGGTGCACCCCTCCCCCCACTGGGGGTGCGAGACATGCCAGATTTTTATGATACATTTTAGGTTTAAAGAACTGACCTACTTCAACAATTTTTATTAAGGGGCGTGAGAACATATTTTGAGAGCCAAACGGGTGCAGGCTGCAGTAAGGTTAAAAACCACTGGTGTAGAGTAAAGCTTACTCAGGGCAAAGCTCTTGTCCATCTAGGGGACCTGGTCTCTGCTATTCTGCTCCCCAATGGACTCAGGATTCCCACAAACAGAAATAGTGACTTCACTAACCCATGTTCCCTGTAAGCTTGTGTGGCTGCTCAGAAGAGTTAAAAGTCACCCAGATGATTAGCAGAGCACCCAGAATCAAATTTTGTTTCTACTGGTGCTGCACATTTGCACATGCCTAGGTACACATAAAAATGTATTCTGCACATGGATGGAAAAATCCACAGAGGGATGGAAACAATTAGAGAGCACGTTGTTACAAATATAGAGTCAGTAGATCAAAACATCAGAGTCAGGAGCCACCAATTCAAGAGGACTCTGCTGGATGATCTTTTGCCTCCTGCTTGATGACTTGAGGAAGAAGGAGTTCATTACTTGTGCACTATAGCCTCTTTCAAAAGCAGAGTCCTCCAGCCCCAAGATGTGTGGTCTCAATAGCCCAACCTAACACTGAAGGTAGAAGTGGCTACATTTTTCAGTCTTTTTCTCTTTCCCGCCCCCTTTTCCCTTCTACAGACTGGGTTATAAATCCGAACGCCCTGAGACTGCTCCCACACACAACGTGCAGGTAAGGAAGAGAGTGTAAGTGAACATGTCACTAAATGAGAAATGTACTTCCAAAGTAACTCAGAAAAGTTTTCTATATTAAGGAAGCTGCCAGATTTTGTCTCTCCCTTCCTTCTGTGAGCACAATTGTGTTTTCCAAACTGTTGCTTGACACAATGCAGGAATGAATCCATCTGCACTTCAAATACCAAAATTCTGACCTGTAACCCAGGCCTGTAGCACACTGCCACTGACACAACTCAGACTAGCATTCTTGTGATTCTAAAAGCAGCAGCTCTGATAATTCTCCAGGATCATGCCAGGAAGACTATGCAGAGCACAGCTATGATACAGGAGATTTTACAGCGAAGTGGTGGGGATAGAGGGAGGGTAGTTTTAAAAGTGTTTCCTTATTACTCGGTGGCTTATTACTACACTGGCATGATTTTGCGCAAATACTTTTAACGGAAAAGTTTTTCCTTTAAAAGTATTTGCGCAAGAGAGAGTCTATACTGGCATGTGCCTTTGCGCAAAAAATTTGCTTTTGCGCAAAAGCATCCGTGCCAGTGTAGACGCTCTCTTGCGCAAGAAAGCTCCGATGGCCATTTTAGCCATTGGGGTTTCTTGTGCAAGAAATTGAGGTTACCTGTCTACACTGGCCTCTTGCACAAGAACACTTGCGCAAGAGGACTTATCCCTGAGCGGGAGCATCAGAGTATTTGCGCAAGAAGCAAACCCACCCGGCCAGTGTAGACAGGCGGCAAGATTTTGCGCAAAAGCACTTGCTTTTGCGCAAAATCTTACCAATGTAGACACAGCATAAATGAGAAGCAACTCTTTAAAAATGTATAAAAGGAAAGCTATCATGTAACAAAATCTGAAAAAGGCACTATGTTCTGAATGGCCAGAACTGTAATTTACATACCCTTTAAGGCTCCTTTATGGCCATAACATCAGCCAAAATGTGAGTCAGATCCACAAATTAACAAGAGTTAACTCTACTGCAATCTAATCATGTTACAATATAGGTGAGATGACTAACAAAAACAGGGAAGGAAAACAGGTCAGTGGTTAGAGTGCTAGCCAAGGGCTCTCCTCAGTTTGTCTGTCTACCACAGACTTCTTGTGGTAACTCTGCCCCATTTCTACCCTCAATGTTGCAAAATCTAACAGGAGCGCGTACGTCTCATTTTGAAAAGGCATTTGGGTGCTTAGGAGCCTAAATACGATTGATTGTGCTCACTGCCACATCAGGAAATCCTCATTAACACAGACTGGAACTCAACGTTATTCTGAAGTTTTAGCTCAGTTTATTATTATTTATCACCTCTAGGCATCAAAATGTGATCAAGGCTGCATTTTCCTAGGTACTAGGTAGGTAGGAGACAGAAATGGATGATGAGCAAACAGAGGTGAAGTAATGGTTTCCAATTCACGCAACAGATCAGTGTCAGAACCAGACATAGATCCCAGTTTTCTTCCTACTTCTTTGTGCAGGGCAGTAGACCATGCTGCCTCATGATGGCTATATTAGTAAGGGAAAAATGCCATCAACTGTTTCAATAGCATCAGTCCGTTATTATTCATATAGCACACCCAGGAACAGTGGAAGCACTGCTCCCTGTGTTTCTTAAAACTGGGGGAGGGAAAACATGTTGCTCACTTCAAACTTTAAGAGTCAAGAAGGAACTTGCTACCCAAACAAACATGGTGCTCATGGTTCTTCCCTTTGATTTACTAGGATAGTAATGAGCAGCATGAGTTGGAGCCCTATGCCAGTTATGTGCAGAAGGAAAACACGATCTATAGCACAATGTATGAAGTTGTAGAGTGTGAACACCCCCCACCAAGGCTCCAGTCAGCAACATGAGAATCCAGCTGGGCCCGACTCACTATCTGTGTGAAGAAGGGGAACAGGTTCCAGGGAAGATTAATGACACTGGATTCCTTCCAGAAGAAGATCTCCATCACCAAATACTTTCTTCCTGGGATTCTGGGAAGCAAGGATATGCATAACCACTGAGTGCCTCCAAATGTATCTGCTTGCTGATCAGTTCCTCTTCTTTCCCTTTTCCCTCCCGCCCCCGTCCCCAACCTGGGAATTGAGTAGCACTGTGAAGGACAGAATGACCAGCTGCCATTGTTTCACCATGGACAGCTCTTGTGCTCACAGGTCCACACTAGCTGTCCTGACCTTTGCAATCCAAAAATCTTATATTTGCTTTTAGGCATTAGTTCTGTGTCACTTTGTTGGGGGGGGGGAGGGAGGGAGGAACACCCACTGACCAACAGCAAGTCTATCATAACAGTAATGGTGCTGGTCATTAGAAGACAGATTAGCTGGGATGGGGCATCAAGAGAGTATTTTGTTATCCACCCAATCCTGGGAAGACACACTATGTTTAGAGGAAGTGCATTGGGTAGGAGGATGGTTCACAGACATGCTGAATAACTTGTCAGGTCCCCCACTGAACACAAAATGTTTTCTATAGTCTGTACTTACAAGTCATCCTCATGACTCTTCCCATGGTGGAATCTCCTCCTCCTAAGAGCATTAACATACTGCAGCAGAAAAATGGTCCAGCTATTCCATTAACCTGTTACTAACAGCGAGCAATGCCAAACGTTTCAGGAAAAGAAGCAACACACCAATAAAGTGCCTATAGGAATTGTGCAATAATGGACTGAGCAGGGGGTAATTTCTTCCTGACCTCAGCAGGTACTCAATTTGACTTGAAGCATAAAGCTTGCTGGTCCTTGTAATATTTATTTTAGCTGATGTTAAAGGCAGAGGGTAGTTTCAAGAAGGTGCTGAAACCTTTCCTGGACTCTTATTAAGCGGTTTTGTCTAAGCATAACTGCAGCACAAGGTTAATTTACTTCATATAAAAATGAGTGTCTCCATTTCAAATGTGTTATTCTGTTATCTCATCCAAGTGGGATGAGGACAGAAGTAAATAGGACAAAGCAGTTGTCCTCTCTGCCAGTGTTTCTCAGGCTTTTTGGGCTGGTGAGCCCAAATATGAAGTCACAATTTTTGTCACGATGACCTCCTTACTTCACTGTAAAAATAAGAATAAAAGAAATGAATGCAAAGCCTATATGATCTGTTTGCGTGTACTTTTTGAGAAGCTGAGAGAGGCTGCCTGACCTTAAGGACAAAGGGGTGCAGGACACAGGAGAGTGAGATTTTCTTTGCTTTAGATTGCAATATAATTTTCAACATAGTGAAACCCTGATAGCCTTTCGTGAGTCTCCTGATTGAGGGAAACATGCAATCTAATGGTCTCTGTTTTTATATATATATATATATCGGCCTTGGAATTTCCCAGGAACCCAAAGATTTAGCACCCAGCTCCCAATGGGTTATGGCCACCTAGCTCCATTGGGTTTCTGAGCACCTAAGACACAAGATGCTATATTACTATTCATGCACTTTAAATACCATTATTCTTTATTTGTATTGTTGCAGTGCTTACTAAGTAGCCCTGGTAGGTTTCTTAGCAACATCATTTATTTTTTTCTGTATTTAGTTATGTTCAGGAATTACAGTGGTCCCTTTGATTTCATACCATCAGCTTTCCAAAGTGACACACATGCCTAGATTGTCTCCCAATGTTATCTATTCACTTATCTCCTGGTCCTGACGTTCTCATTTGTAATTATACTACCATACCTAGCAGATGGCATGATCTGATTTATCTGCTCTGCAGCACAGACCAGCTTGCCTCCAACTACTAGTTGAAATTATTTCAATTCTCCTACCACAACCATTTAGATTTATATTGCTAGCATGGAGACTGAAGTCAGAGGAATTTTCCATGACTCTTCACTTCAGTAAAGCCAAGTTTGCGACAGAGGGTTTCGTGCCCCTGTATTCTCTTTGCATGAATATTCTAGGAAACGAGTGAATTGGCATGAATGTGAAGTGAAACAGCAAAGATTAGAGAACATGAATAAAAAAGTTTGAATTTTTAAACTCTGAAGATGCACAGCAGGAACCCGAATCTAAGAGTTATGTTTACTCGGTAAGAAAAGAACAGTAACTCTATAGGATAGATGCTGTCATAACAGAAAATGAAATGCCAAGTGCTCACGTAAATAGCCCAGGCACGCTAGAGTCACAGAAAGCATTTGGCAAAGAATTGAGAAGAGTGAATTAATTTAAAATAAGCAACCACTTACAAAGTACCTACCCCTCTCCCACCAACCATTTCTCATTCATAGTGGAGAGGCCATCTCGTCTTCACTAGGCCCACGAACAAGTACCTTTGTGCTTTTTCTCATGCTGCCCCTCACACCTGGAAGAAAATCCCCATAAACATCCACAAAAGTAACTCATTAGCCTGCTTTACAGCCATCCTTAAGATTTTCCTTTGTTTTGATGCCAACAGAAAAATTGACATTGGGTAGGCTTCTGGTATGCTTAGATAACTGCTTATGTCGACCAGTATTGTCTCATTTTCCCGTAGTGCCCCCTCTGTCCAGATCCACTGATTATCTTGTCTTATATTGAGAGTGCAGGCTCTTTGGGGGAAGGGACTGCCTTTTTCTGTATTTGTACAGCACCTAGCACAACGGGGTCTTGATCCATTGGTAGGCCTCTCTGGCATCACCGTTAATACAAACAAATAAGATGATGATGCTCAGGCACCATTCACAAACAGACCGAGAGGTTAACTTTGTCAGGTACGTTATTCACTGTCAATTATTCCATTTGCTCCAGTAGAGTCACTGTTCTGAACCTGATCTCCCTGGCCTTACTGTCTAATGAAAATAAACACCGCTGCACTAGAAACAGAGACTCTGCAGTGGCTTCTGTCTAGAAGGCATTGTGCATGGAACTCAGATCATTTCACATGCCTTGGAAAGCAGTGTGTTTCCATACAGAAAAAGCAACACTTAGAATGACCGAACAGGGAAAAACATTCCCTAGCACCTTGCTGATGCCAATAATGTGGCCTTGCTGCCTGTCAAGCATTTAGCCCTCTTGTTCTGTGTATCAGTCACATTCTCCTCAGTTTGTACTCACTGATTTCCTAGGCACCTTGATGTGCCTTCCATGTAAAATGCCCAGTGTTTCCATACAGAAAAAGCAACACTTAGAATGACCGAACAGGGAAAAACATTCCCTAGCACCTTGCTGATGCCAATAATGTGGCCTTGCTGCCTGTCAAGCATTTAGCCCTCTTGTTCTGTGTATCAGTCACATTCTCCTCAGTTTGTACTCACTGATTTCCTAGGCACCTTGATGTGCCTTCCATGTAAAATGCCCAGGTAGCTGAGAGA